ATATCTCTACCTTTACAGAGTTCATAAGCCTAAATACGGTGTTTTTGGCCTCCCGACCAGCTTCATCACAGTCTCATAACCAAGTGCTTGCACGAGAACGAGCCTATAACAGAGGTCATTAATCGTGTAATCAACTATTTAACTGGGAAAAACTAAAAGATATGGTTTTAAAACAACGTAGGTGACTATGCGTTTCCTCAATTGGTACAGGTCGCAGTACTTGTTCAGATTTACAGTCCGGAAGTGCTTGAGAGTTATGGTTAGGTTCTAGCGTCACTATAATGACTTGTCTAACTTTTTTCAGGTCACTCCGGTCATCTAGTGTATTCACTAGTTTTTTAAGGCGTCTCTTTGTGACAGCATCCTAATTAAGGAGATCGTATACTTTCATTCTAATATTCTAAACAGCTTTATATCCCTTCGACAGTGTTTACCTCTGTGACCTTCCAATATATGCCTTATAGAGGGAGCGGCGGTGTAGTTATAGATTTCCAGTATCGTCTGTTTATGCTAATATTTCCTCATGTAACACGTAAACAAAAGTTTTGCATAATTTTTTCACCCTTTTGGTATATGGTTGGGGAGGAAATACTGTTTTATATCATATAGCAGCCAACCAAAAAGAAGCCTTCCGGACCTACATTATTTAATAAATTAAAATAACTGAATTCACTATGGGTACAGTAATATTAACGAGGAATCAATAGCTTGTATGCTGAGTCAAAGAGCCGTACACGGACAGCACTGAGAGGACTAAATAGCCAACCAAGTCTGTCACTAAGATGCTACAGGGTAATCCCTACTTTTTACAACTCACTGAATAACTATCAAGACCAACCATAAAAATCAGAATCCCAGAAGTATGGTAGGTGTGTTGTTCAAGTTTACCTAACACACGGTACCATCCAAAAGATTTCCAGATCCCATGAAACATGAATCGATTCCTGATTTTTTATAAGAGTGGGAGAGACAATCATTCTATAACATTGTGGGAATCTGTCACTCAGTAGGCTGAATAGAATGCCATGAAACTGGAGACTCATAGCTGTTCACAAGCGGCATACGCGATTCCCACCTATGGACCCTGTAGAAACGTAGGAAAAATGGGTGCAAATCTCACTAGCCTCTGTCCGCCGTCAAGCAAGATCATCAGTTTTTCAGTTCACGTGTATTAAGACCTGGCTTCAACTTATACACTTTACGTTAAGATGACTTCTTAACGGGGAGTATACAGTGGATCCCAGATTATCCCAACAGTGATCCGAAAAAGAACATGAGCACAAACTGTGCTGATGTCAGTGATGAATCCATTCTCTGGTCAGTTCCATTTGGCTTGATTATTCATATTTCCTACCAAAGCCCACATACTGGCGCTTCCATACTCCGCCAATCACAGCTCGCAGAAGTGGTGGACTGACATTGATTTCCAGATTTGTCTATGACACCGAACAATCCTCTTGTATCCTCGTGCAGAATGGTGACACCACATATGTTTGGCACTCAGCCAAGTGTGCGACCAGCTGAGGCCACTACCACTGGTGCAGCTCTGAGGGAATGATACTGGCGCAGTTTTCAATCACCTAACATGCTCAAATGGTGCTTCATTTCTCTCATATGATGACTAAAACCCGAACATTTGAAAGCTCGATGTATTCATAAGGTCAGTGGTCAGCTCCTACCGCAGAGCGCATTTGAGTGACACATAGCCTGCTAGAGCTACACAGAAAGAAGGCAGATCTGTGTATTGGTGGTTAGAGGACATCACATCTACCATCACTATTAGCTTCACACTCCGGAATGCCTGGTGTGATCAGGTGAATCGTCCGTGGGAAAATAAGTGGACATGTCCTGTTCAGTTGACTTAGTCTTTAATCACTAGATGCCAGTAACACTATCCTCGTCGGTGTGCAGCCCAAATGGCTTAGTTCCGGTTAACCTATTCGTCAACTTGAGGGATTAAATTTTCAAGCATTTCAAGCACTTGCTGTTGAATGTTTATAAAGTACCAAAATAACATGACTGTTTTGATCCTATTTTAGAATTTGTATTACTTAGCATATTGTGAATGCTCGCTGCATCACACCAGTCGCTAATCCGTGATAACCAGGATGACAACTTTTGACGGCTATAGTGCGGACTAGGTATTAGTTTTACTAGGATGTAGGTTCACAAGATCGCGGAATATTTCAGGCGTTACACCATAACAATGGCTGTCTTCAGTGCATCCCAAGACAAAAAATGTTGATACTGGCCTCCAAGTCAACAAGAAACACCGCGCTCATCAGACTACCACAAATTTCCGTAATGTCCTCACAAGGTGGTTCAGGCCGAAATAAGCCTTCAGTATGTTTCCCTGAATTTTGTGAGATAAAATAACACTGACAACTCATTTCTACATGGTTTGGTAAGCAATCAGTGAATTAATCACACTTTGCTGAAGAGGCCCCACACTGAACGGTGACAAACACTCTCCAGTTGGGTGAATACTGCTATAGCTTCCAAACAATTTCGTTTGCTAGTTTCAGACACCCATGGCGTCAAAGTGGTGTATCCCTGAGTCTCAAGGGACGTGTGCATCAAGCTAGAGTGCGGGATGTTTTGTTGTTTGACTATGAAACTTGGCCTGTTCAAGCAGTGGAACTGAGACCTCTTCAGGTGTTCGACAGTCGTTGTCTCAGAACCATAGATCGTGTGGAATGGTGTCGGTGAGGCAATTAGAGAGTGAGCTTTCGGTTGCACAACGGGTACTTCCATTGGAGGATGTGTCGAGCATCAGAAGCTGCGTTGGTTGTTGCGCAAGCTTAGCCATCGTTTGCCAAAGAGAGAGCTGTTTTCCATGCCTTATTCAGAGGGGTGAGAGCAGAGAGGTGGTCAACCCTTAACCCGGCAGAGGGGTATGAAAGAAATCACGAAGCGTTTGAGTGCTCTCGGTGCTACTCGCCTTCCAGGATGGCACCGAATGATTCTCACTGCTCCTGGTTGGAGCAGTCCAACTTTATTCTTATTTACATGATAAGACTTTCAACTAAATCATGGTCGTAAGGCAGCGAAGCATCGGTGTTGAAGACTGATATCATGCTGTCGATGGAGATGATGATGTACAAGGAAAAACGTTCCATAGTGTCTTGCCATACACTTCAGAGGTTGCCCCTTAGAAACCAGTTTCATGGGCTTGGTAATCGCGATATCCAGCGGTTTTAGCGTAGGTTCAACTTCTCATGGCAAGACCAAAGTCGATATGCTAATAAACCATGACATCAATGGAAACAACGATCTTTACCTTTTTGCAGCACATCTATCTAGCCAACGCAGACAACGAAGAATCTTGTGTAATCACCGCGTTTTTTGGCCCTGTATTCTGTGTATAGTTGACCCATTTCGACGTATGTGAAACATTTTACTCATTAGGTTTAACGTAAAGCATGCAGTAATGACTTTTCTTCAGAGCAGCGTTCTTCACCATTGCCTCCAGTATGACTTCAGATTTCTGTGTTCAGGCACAAAAATCTGTAAAATAAAGCGTGGCAATTCCGCATAATCCGAAGGGCCAAATAAATATCACCCTTTATTGCGACGAACAAGGCACCTGTGACCATCAAGCTTCTGGCAGCCTTTTAGCGGTCGAACTCCTGACCGCTTACTAAAATCTTCGTGTATTTGTGTTTTTCACAAAATCGCTCAGCAAGCCGCAATCAAATAAGACAGCCAAACTTACGAAACAGGCAGAGCCTAACGTGAACAGCGAGCTATTTCCAACCTTGATTGATATAAGTGTTGTGGTTGTTGACCGAATTTAGTCGCACATTTTACGCCACATCAGCTGGTTTTTTAATGGTATCATTGAAAGATGTTACATATCGTACTTTGAGGACACTTTTCATCCCTTATTATAACTCATGGGCATTTCAGCTTGCGCATTAGATTTCTCGCGGAGCCTGTTTCGTAATTCTAAGTTTTCGCCTGAGAAGCTTGCTCCCAGCTGGGGAAAAGTTAGTTAAGGGTCAGAAACTACTGCCCCCACTTCCCAAACATCCCTATTTCCGTAAACTTCACATTACTTCACCAAATGTTCCAGCCATTCAGCAACGGCTTAGCTCTGAGCATGGGCGCTTTTTTCGTTTCAGTCGTAAAAACTTACGTCTAGAAATCACCCAAGATTTTAAAATCCATTTTCTAATGCATAAAATCATATTTGTCTACATTTCACAGCAGTCTGTGATGACATTTTTACAATACCATCCCGTGTCAGACATTTTTTGATAAATCGAATGACTGACATCGACATTGATGGTTTACAACGAACGTCTGGTGCTTGAGTCCCCCTTAATGCCCAAACCACCCGAGTTACATTGCTTAAGTACGTGGTCTTTGCTTGAGCTAATGTTGTGCGCCTGAATTTCTCTGATCCTATGGAATCGAGAGACCATTTATCCGTTGCTTGTTCTTCATTTCACCATTCCGTGTGTTTCTGCCGTGGTATGGAGTCGATTCTGGTTCCTTTTGCCCTCATCAGTCAAAAAATTTGGTCGAATGTTGGAACAAAATATACTGGGTCCCGTAGCGTTGCATTACTGTCATCCTTGTCAGGTCGAACGTAATTCGGTGCATTACCTTCTTGCGACGTCACGCCTCAAGTATTCAGGACAGAGTAGAACAGGCATGAACGAACGTTATATCGCAGAACATAAGTGAAGTGCGTTAAGATACGGATTCAGTGGCTTTTGTTGACGTGTATAATATTGGATCGGGGAACATTCAAGACTAGCAGGACGTTCACTGTTATGTTACCGAAGGGTCGAATTTCATTGTTTTCTACAGTAGGCAACGTGTTCTGCTATTTTTGGAAATGCATCCTTTGCAAGCATTCTGTCTCCTATGGTGTAAATGGCTGTGGTACCAAAATTTAAGCTGTCTATTTGGCACAAAACCAAACACACATAGCGTCTGATCAGAAAATTCGTTAAGAATAGGAAAAAGACAAAACAAACTTTTTGGCTTACATTCATCCAGTTTAGGATCCAAACCCTGTTTCACAGAAAACCGATGTTGAATAGTCAGTGCATCAAAATCAATCATATTCATCATCCAAGTTTGAATGGTGTTTGACAGGTTCTGGTCAAAATCATTGTCCAGCAGGTTTTGCATCGGAAATAGCTTGTTTGCGTATGGCATACATAAGTGAATAAGCTTCTCCACGGAAGTTAGGGTCTGTAAGAGTTATTTTGGTGAAATCAACCGCACAAATTACCTGCATCAAGCACTTCCAGTCGGTAGGCAGTGCCGAGGATTGTTGCATTCGGTAAAATATCCGCTGAATAGACAAATGGCATGTTACATAATGGATTATGGAAGAATTGGTGGATTTAAATACCGTTTCTGTTTCCCTAACTGCGATCCGTGTTCTTATTGCTTACGATTTGAAAGGCAAGTCCGGCGGACGGCATAGGTTTGTCACGTGAACAAAAATCTCCATTTAAATCATTAAACAAGTGCAAGGTACTTGCCCCCGTTGTTCAAAGTCACTGACAATTTTAGGCACTGGCAAGGCAACTGCTTCAGTGTGTGGTGGTCTTGGTTCGTAGATAATATCAAGCACAAATATGTCCAGCATTTAGGTGGTGCTTGAGCGTATGTGATAGAACGGCTTATGATAGAACCACTAAGAAAAAAAAAGAATTTTGGCATGGGTCCAGTCCCAAGGGTTCTTCATCTGCTGATGCGTAATTAGGCATTAATACCTAGTAAAAAGATGACTCAATCTGAAAGAAGATTCAGTAAAAGTTGTGCACCTCCAAACTGGACATTTTGTCACGTTCTTTGGCCTTATTCAGCTGCATATGAAATAGGGTTTTGGATAAAGTGACCATGAAACTGTGGTCCACTTCAAGGATTTTCAGTAGCTGGGAGCCGTCATCCCAGGTGATGTGGTCGTCTGATCTTGGTAGACTTACTTTTGCTTTATTTGCTTGGTGGCTTAGATGCTACTGATTATACAATATCTGAGTAAATAAAACTAGCATTTTCCCCGCGATTGAATCCCATAGAGGTGCTTATAATGTACTTGTTAACCAATATCCTAGCTGTTTTTGGTAAGTTCTGCTTCTTTTTGAAACCTATCCCTTGATCGCCTACTAGGGGTTTAAGCGTTTGCTGATGAAAACTGGATTCATCTTTATAGTAGCTGTAATAAAACAAAGCAAATCGAGGGCGCAATCCTTGCTTACCGGATGTAGCACGAAATGATGATACATCGCTTTCCTACCCAGGTGTTCGGTGTTTGGCATTGCAGCTGTTGCTCTCTAACTCCCAGTTACTCCTAGTTAATCGACCACCACACCATCCGAAAGTGCTATCCCATATATGTGGTCATAACTAGGCTCGATCTTCGGAGTTTCGATCTGTCGAAGACAATTCTCAGGTCCCTCACCCGCTTACATAACTAACCAAACCTTCATCAAATGGAGCCCTTGTACAACTTGTACATGGTTTGCAGCTCATAATGTTGCTACTGCTAATACTGGTAATGGTGACAACGATGAGGAGGATATAGTGATGCTGATAATGACAGTTTTGATGATGAGAATGATGCTTCCGCTGATGATGATCATATGATCAAATTGGACATTTGCCTAATTTTGACTGGACCAAAAGTTTATGTTTATTATTTGTCAGCCAAGTAAACACTGCTCATGGTTGGCTATCAAATTAAGTACCTTGAGCACAGGCAAGCTGAAGCACTTGATGTAGCTAGGGGAACCAAAATGAGTTATAGTTTGTCACGCGTCTTCCTACATAAGTGATGCGCCGCGAGTAGTTACGAAATGCAGACCTCGTACAGTCATCAAGCAGATGCTTCCAGTGCATTAGAATATAAGTGTTCTATAATGTTCTATACCCTTCCCGCATACAACTACGGTCTGAGAATTCAAATAGATACCTCTAAGTAAGCGCAGCCCGTACTTTTATCTTACTCTCTCCTGTTTTTGAGATATAATACATTTTGTTCAAGCTGATTAATCGTTGCCGGAAGTGCTGTCATTCATTAATGCTGTCAAGCGCCCATTTGTAGCCCTGAGTTAAGGCTTTTCTGCATATAACCCGGAAGCCCTTACGCCAATGAGTTTGCTACCAAAAGTTAAGAACCTTTAGGCTGTTTTGTACCATGAATTGGTTTGGCTGGTTTGATTTGAAATACTGATCAATTTTCGTGTTAGCTTTCTATGTGACATACGCGACTTGATCTCATAAAGTGAAAGCACCAAAACCTTAAAGTATTATTAGTTCTTTGGGCTGGCTCCAGTAATTGAGCATGTAGTATGTGAAATATTGAGCATGTAGTCTTTTAGCAGCAAGCGAGAATCAAATTACAAGTACTGGGTTAAGTTAAAGCGTCTTTTGTTTGTCATTCGTGTCAAACTTTGTAATGCCGAGTGTTTTGCTTTTAACACCGGAACACAGGTCATGTTCCTCCCTTAACGGACTTATATTTGGAAGACCAATTCATCAAGAACGCAGACGAAATAGAGTTGCAACGCAATAGCTGGTCTGAAGGAAACATTCCAGCCTTGTGGAGACTTTCAACTTCCGCCTCAGAAATGATCCAAATTCTATCGTCGATTTATATTTCGCATAAATCGGAGGGTTTATGCAATGATGTGAAGCATAACAAAACAGTGTCCAAAAACACATATGTGACTCCAGCAACTTTTATCTGTTTAAGTAGACTACAAAGTTAGCCATATTTCAGAAATATCGACTTCTGTGTAATTTAGATCATTCTGACAAGGCCAAATAAGGGGTTCTCACAAAGGTGGATTATTGAATGAAACATTTTCTTAATCACTCTGTTACGAATAATCAAGCCGACAAGCACTGATCAGTGCACAACAGACAAAACGTTTAGATTCAGGAAGCGCAGAGAAGAAAAGGACAGAGAAAATAATAGTTTTTAAGTGTTTTTATTTAGTTTAGTTATGATATATGACATATGACATAATCTAGAAGCGGTGACTCTTAAAGCATTTTCAGCAATAAGATAAAAAAAACTATCTGCACTCAGAAGCAGAAATTCCTCCAGAAAAGAAATCAGGCGGACATTGTTTTCACTGTGTATTTACGGCGGTTTCTTCAAACACGCTCTTCACAAAGGACAAGTTAGTACTTTGAAGGCTTTTACACTCATTCCTTGAGCTTTGACCCGGAGGGTGAATTACCGGGATAAATAGCCTTCTAATATAGAACACTGAGAAGCCGAGGGTAGGGTAAAACCATGCGACAGTTTTTTTTCTTTTCTTATGAGGAGTAACTCATCTCGAAAAACACCATCTAGCCACACAGTTCATATCTTGAAATAAAGGGCAAAAGCCTTTGAGCGAAGCCTATTTCTGGTGTTTGGCAGGAAGGGACACTGAGGGAGAGAAAACGATATTGAACTGCACTGGAAAGCAGAATGAGGGCAGGGGGAGTGCAAAAAAGATAGCAAGGTAAAGGATTTTGGAGAGATGAACAATAACAGTCGACGGTGCTCTTTCTGGAAGATTTGCAATGGCACCTTTTAAAATCGCAGTATATTGAGCACCACTGCCGCACAAACGCCGAGTTGCGGGACTTTATGAACTATGACAAAAAGAATGAAGAGTTGCATCGTCTGTCTTGGAAGACAACCAAACAGAAGAGTTTCTGACCTGAGTAAGAAAAATGGTGAAGGAGAACTCACTAGTGATAAGTTCCTGTGTTGAATTACCGTATCTGCAATTGGAAGCCATCACAAACTTACAGTTTGTTCAAACAGGTTGTGCGTCCAAAACATATAGCAGAGGTTTTTGTAGCTACATTAACAATTTCCTTTAAAGCGTTCCCATTTTCGGGCTTAGATTTAAGGTACGTGCACCATCCAACAACTCAGAACAAACGTTTTCGGTGGTTCTCTGGCTAATAATGTTGCCGCCCTTAAGGTGACATATTTACAGAGAAACCATCAGGAAAACGCTGGGTCTGTTGCGGTTCCGACCATTATCAGTTTTTGGGTTTGCAGACAGTTTGCTAACAAGTTAGCAGAAATCCGTGAGACAAACCTTCTCAGCCAAATAACTAAACGCCCCGCATTTGATGTTAAGCGTCTGGCGCAACTGGAGGTGTTTCAGAAGTATAACTATTTCAAACAAAATTTGACCCAAAAAAAGAATTTCAGACTTGTGTCTCTTTTGTGCCCTTTGGAGATCCTGGTTTTTTTTCTGATAGGAGAGTCTTTATGGTGGTTTGACAGCTGTGTTTCTTTGAGGTGATCCATGATGCTTTCTTGTTGAAGAAGTCGAAGGCCTTGGTAAGGTATATAAAAAGCTTACGGAGTGTTCGGTCGTTCGTGCAATTTTTCACTGACTTGTTTTGCAAAGAAAATCAAGTCAGTCTCCCTCTTTGTGTTTCAAGATCCACGTTCGGCAGGAATTTTTTCATATTAATGGCAGTATCCGGTAGACTTATCCAAATAAATAAAAAAATAAGTCTTTCAAATGCGGCAACCTTTCGGTGCCTAACCACCCCGCAACCCGAAGGAAGCATGAGAACTTGGGTACTGACAGGTTGTTTAAGCTTGGACATGATAAGTTGAAAACCAGAGAGCATGTTCAAACTACGGGCCTTTGGGTCAGTGGATTTGCTTTATAACCAGTAAACCATCTCAGAACTGGTTTGAACACGGGACAAAATATCGCCTCTTGTGCTTGAGATTGGCTACTTGATAACCAACCTTATGGATTGTTTCATATTCATTTTGTAAATATTATCTACATTTGCACACATCAAGCGTAAAAGTTTAGTGTGCAGCGCTTATCATACCGTTTCAGATTGTTTCTCATGCAGGCCACTCAGTCTTTCTGTTGGTATACTTTGCTACTAGTTTATGGCTGTAGGCAGTCAACCAAGAATGCTCCCTCATTTTGAAGCAAGTAGGCCATATAGCTCAAAGTATTTTTTACAGCAGCGCTGAAAAGTTGTGTTTTTAATGTACCTCATGTTCCTGGAGCTGGTTAAACCTATTGCTGTTCTTGTTCTTTTTTTTGCCAAAACAATTTTATTTACGCAAAGAGATTTTGATGCAGAGGCGAAAGTTTTGCGACTGCAGATCTTTAATTCCTTTGGTCTGCCACCATTTCCTCATCTAGCTTAATTCAAAAGCGTTTTCATGTACCTTTCAAACTGCTTTATGTTCATTAAACGCGCTAGATTGAGGCTGTTGTTGAAAAGTCATTCCGGCCAATCGAACAAAACTTTGTTGTTGTTTTACCTAATCATATCTTA